TGCTCAAGTGCCATTAAATACAATGACATAATAAAAATGGTATCCCTTATATAAAATGGCAAACTCAAGCTTTGCTTTTTGGAATTTATATATTTAAAAATATTTTCAAGCAGTGGATGAATCCTTGAATAAGGAATCCATGGATATGGAGGGCTGACTGTATGATTAATTTTAACATTAATAAGAATAGATATGGATAGGAATTAGGTTAACCAGCTGAACACAAAACCAAGCAAGTACCATTTCCTTGTGCCTTGAGCAGAAATCAGCATCTGGTGCATTTCACAACAAGGCTGCCGCAGAAATAAAACAGTTTGACACCACTTTAAAGGCGATAATTCAAAACTATGGAAGCTGGGATTTGTAGTTTTGTGAGATATTTAGCATTTCCTGGTAGAGAGCTCTGGTGCCCCACCAAACTTCAAATCCCAGAATTCTATAGCATTAAACCATGGAAGTTAAAGCAGTGTCAAACTGCTTTATTTCTGTAATGTGGCAACAGCCAATGACTACAACAATAATTGCTGATAAGTGTCTTGTCATCAGCATATAATCTTTATATTAGGTTATGATAATATAATATTAAGATAATATTAAGAAGATAAAAGTAATGACCATAAATTATTTATATAACTTTAAAGTGGGTAATGAAATCATCAAATAGTTAAAGGTTTCCTGTACCATGGCTCATAATTTAAAGAGACTTGGAAAGGCAGCCATGAAGGAACTAGATTAAATTTTCAAGCTCAGAGACATATACAGTAATTAAATATGAAAGTCAGAACCATCCAGGCTATAGTATTTCTGATTTCTATATATGGCTGTGAAAGCTGGACAGTAAAGAAACCTAAGAGGAAGTGAGTGAACTTATTCTAAAATGTAGATTACAAAGGTGTCTTGTAGCACCTTTGAGGCTAACTGAAAAAGAGAACCTGGTAGCCTGCACTTTCGTAGTCTTAAGTTTGCTTCCTCAGATGCACATGCATGCATCTGAGGAAGTAGACTCAAGTCTACAAAAACTCATGCTACCAACTTCTCTCTTTCAGTTATCTCAAAGTTGCTATAAGGTCCCTTTCCATATTGATTTTTCAGACTAACACAGCTATACCTTTGAATTAATCTGAAATGTGGTACTGGAGGAGATGTCTGCAGATACCATGGACTGCCAAAAAGACTAACTAGCAGGTTTTAGAACAAGTTACAGCTAAAGTCTCATGAAAGCTAGAATAACTAAACTGAGGCTATCGTGCTTTTGACATACCATGAGATGATGTGACTCATTGGAAAATATAAGAATGCTTGGTAAATGGAAGGTAATAAGAAAAGAGAGAGACCACACTGCAGGTAGATGGATTAAATAAAAG